TTGCGTCCACGTACATTTAAATACCGATTATATACAATAGTTGCGTCCACGTTCATCTAAATACATATTGTATACAATAGTTGCGTCCACGTACATCTAAATACATATTATATACAATAGTTGCGTCCACGTACATCTAAATACACATTATGTACAATTATTGCGTCCACGTACATCTAAATACACATTGCATACAATAGCTGCTTCCACGTACATCTAAATACACATTATATACAATAGCTGCTTCCAAGTACATCTAAATACATATTATATACAATAGCTGCTTCCACCTTCATCTAAATACACATTATGTACAATAGTTGTGTCGACATAATCTAAATACACATTATGTACAATAGCTGAGTCCACATCTATCGAAATACATATTATATACAATAGCTGCTTTCACGTACATCTAAAAACATAATATATACAATAGCTGCTTCCACGTACATGTACATCAAAATACACATTATTTACAATAGTTGCGCCTACGTACATTTAATACACATTATATCAATAGCTGCTTCCACGTACATCTAAATACTAGTACACATTATATACAATAGTTGCGTCCACGTACATCTAAATAAACATATACAATAGCTGCGTCCACGTTTATCTGAATACATATTATGTACAATAGCTGCATCCACGTACACCTAAATACACATTGCATACAATAGCTGCTTCCACGTACATCTAAATACACATTATGTGCAAGAGCTGCGCCGACATACATCGAAATACACATTATGTACAATAGTTGCGTCCACATACATCTAAATACACATTATATATAAATAGCTGCTCCCACGTTCATCTAAATACACATTATATACAATAGTTGCGTCAACATACATCTAAATACACATTATCTACAATAGTTGCGTCTATGTACATCTAAATACACAATATGTACAATAGTTAAGTCCACGTACATCTAAATACATATTATATATAAATAGCTGCTCCCACGTTCATCTAAATACACATTATATACAATAGTTGCGTCCACGTACATCTAAAAACGCATCATATACAATATTTGCGTCCACGTACATCTAAATACACATTATATACAATAGCTGCGTCCACGTACATCTTAATACATATTATATACAATAGCTGCTTCCACGTTCATCTAAATACACATTATATACAATAGTTGCGTCCACGTACATCTAAAAACGCATCATATACAATATTTGCGTCCACGTACATCTAAATACACATTATATACAATAGCTGCGTCCACGTACATCTAAATACATATTATATACAATAGCTGCTTCCACGTTCATCTAAATACACATTATATACAATAGTTGCGTCCACGCACATCTAAATACATATTATATACAATAGTTGCGTCCACGTACATCTAAATACACATTATGTACAATACTTGCGTCCACGTACATCTAAATACATATTGTATACAATAGTTGCGTCCACTTTCATCTAAATACATATTGTATACAATAGTTGCGTCCACGAACATATAAATACATATCATATACAATAGTTGCGTCCACGTAAATCTACATACACATTATATGCAATAGTTGCGTCCGCGTTCATATAAAAAAACATTATATACAATAGCTAGGTCCACGTATATCTGAATACATATTATGTACAATAGCTGCATCCACGTACATCTAAATACACATTGCATACAATAGCTGCTTCCACGTACATCTAAATACACATTATATACAATAGTTGCGTCCACGTATATCTAAATACATATTATATACAATAGCTGCTTCCACGCACATCTAAATACATGTTATATACAATAGCTGCTTCCACGTACATCTAAATACACATTGCATACAATAGCTGCTTCCACGTACATCTAAATACATATTATATACAATAGTTGCGTCCACGTACATCTAAATACACATTTGCATACAATAGCTGCTTCCACGTACATCTAAATACACATTATGTGCAATAGCTGCGCCCAGATCCATCTAAATACACATTATGTACAATAGCTGCGTCCACATACATCTAAATACACATTATGTACAATAGTTGCGTCCACGTTCATCTAAATACATATTGTATACAATAGTTGCGTCCACGTACATCTAAATACATATTATATACAATAGTTGCGTCCACATACATCTAAATACACATTATGTACAATTATTGCGTCCACGTACATCTAAATACACATTGCATACAACAGCTGCTTCCACGTACATCTAAATACACATTATATACAATAGCTGCTACGGATGCTTCAATCAATGTCACAGATGGGAGAAGATGTGGGGTCTCTGACTGACAGAATCAACAATTCACCCAGGAACGAGGGGAGTTCGCGCCCCACTACCCGCAGTCAGGCTACCAGCTCTAGGGGCAGCCAGCAGGACCTCACTACCTAGGGGTGTGGCCGAGGCCCATACCAAGACTCAGAGGATTTAAAAAGTGATGACTCTCCTACAATAAATCTCTTATATTGGAATATATCTGGATTGAAATCTAAACTAGATGACTCTGACTTTGTTTCATATCTACATTCATTTGACATTGTAGGCCTCACAGAGACGTGGATTCAGAAGTTAGACTTCCAGAACAAGTTTGCTGATTATTTATATTATAATAGACCAGGTGATAAGTTAGCAAAAGCAGGGAGACTCTCTGGTGCTATCATAGTTATGGTTAGAAAACAGCTGAAAAAATATATTAAGCGGAATTGGGTGAAAGAAAGTGGTATTTACATTCTATTAGATAAATTACTGTTTGGTACTGTAACAGATGTGTTATACTGTTGTGTATATATACACCCAGAAGGCTCAACCTATTATGATAAATGTGCTACTTCTAGAAATGGTGTACTGATGTTTCAAGACGAGCTCCTGGATATTCTAAATCAGATCGATGACGTTTCATGTATTTTTGGGGGAGATTTTAACTCCAGAACTCAAATGTTCACCTTATGGACAAACACAGGAACATAAGTTATGGTGAATAATAAGTCAACAGAGGATATTGCATCTGTCATTACTCTTGTCTCTGATACGCTATATTTGCAAACCTCCAAACTAAGATCTTGAATGCTGCAACTCTTTGCAACATTTGAGCAGAAGTCGTAAGACTCTCTTTGGAATCTTCGTATAAAGAGCATGCTCGATTTTACCTAAACAAATGTGAAATATAGCCACCAAAGGCTGCAGCTTGAATATTGTTGGACATAAGTGAATATTGTCTGTTGTAAAGTTAAAATGTTGTCAAACAGTCTTGTGGTTAGTTTGTTATAAATCTTTATGCGTAGTTCTTAATATGAAACATGGTCTCTATATTTCTAGGTAGGTGGGTAAATCATTGACAAGGAATTGATTATGTCTGCATTATTGAACAATACTTGATCATCGATATCCCTGAAGCAGAAATCTGAGCAGTAATGCCGATCCATATGCATAAGGAACCGATCATCAAGGAGGGAAGCACATTTGATGCCCATAACGATGCTTACTTCTTGCCAAAATGAACTATTTCTGATATTTTTCATACCGTTTCTAACCACTTAATTTTAGCTTATTTGAAGGAAACTCAACTGAACGAAAAGATGTAGATTTGAAGTTTTGAATTTCAGTTTGTACTGTTTACTATGATGATGGGCTGAAGTTTTAGTAATCTTTGTCCTCACTTTGTTGTCATCACATGTTTTTTACTACTGATAATTGTAAAAACAATTCTAGCCGCGAATAGATCGGCTTGCCCTCATTTCGCCTACACCTCATTTCGCCTACAATAATTCAAATGCTTAATTGCCTCACCCCTATTATATGAATGGGCATTGTCCATCTCAGGCTGTTAACTAATCCAAGCTCTAATCTAATCCAAGCGGCATAGAGGTTCAAAGTGAAGTTTTTACAACCTATGACAACTTCTCACAACTCTTGTTTGACTTGGTCATTCTGTTAATCCTTAGTTGTTTTGAATGTGCAAGTAAATCTTGTTCAGTAAATAAATCTTATTTAATAATTAAGGTGTAAAGAAGCCTATCATCGCTTCTCACATTGTTTGTAATTGTTACAAATTGGTTAGTTCTTAGTATTGGTTTTATTAAAGGAAATTAGATGTCTGCTTAATTGTTGAACTGTTATTGTTGTTATTATTGCATTGGTATATATGTACCTGACCTATCAGCTTCCCCAAACTTGTTTATTACTGAATTTGGCATTCAGCAATTTTCGGAAGTTCTAAAATGTATCATTATTCATTATTTAAAATGTCATTTTGTGTTGAACCATATATATCTGCTGTAACTATTGGGAAATTAAGATCGGCAATAGCTCGTTTTCGTTGCAGTTCGCATTCCTTATATATTGAAACGGGAAGATATAACAATGTACCTAGAAACTTGAGGATTTGTAAATTATGCAATATTTGTTATGTGGAAAATGAATTCCACTTTTTGATAATTTGCAAAGCCTATGATAATTTATGACAACAATATATCCATGAAAAGTTTTATGTCCATCCTACCCTGGATAAATTTAATATGTTAATGTCTGACTGTAACCAAACTACAATTCGAAATACCGCAATGTATTAGTATTATTCCTTTATCTACCGTGAGTCAATAATTAATACTGTGGACCAATATATGTACCATGGGCCGTTGGCCTAAGCATGTACGAAATAAAGAAACTGAACTGGACAGAGAGATGAATAAACGCAGGTCGGGTCAGTATAATTTCATTGGTTAATTATAAGTTGCCATTTTGTATAGTTTTAGAAAAGATGTAAGAAATGATGGTGCAGAAAAAAGACTAGCAATTAACCCTATAACAGTGATGCAATGGCGGCGTCCACTGATGCCTACAGTCTACAATAAACAAAGTCATGTACCTGCTACAAGTGCTACCCAACCTCTAGCTGGACAAGTCCACTTAAGTGGAATAATGCCTATAGGCGTCAAAAGACAGAAAATTGTATGAGGTCAATTTTTATTTCACATTGCCATAACACTAACAGTAATAATGCACCATGGATATAGTGGGCAATCTTGTTCCTTTCTGCTTTTCTAGCTTCTGAAGGACTCTCACAAGGCAGTAGATGTTGGGGTGGGCTCGCTGAACAGTCTTGTTAAGGTAGGCATACCAACCTTCAAGGTGGTTGTTGTTTCGAGGACCAAAGTTGGTGTGGTGATTCCAAATACCAGCACGGAACATGGCATAGTCGTCGACCCAAGTATTCACCATGTAGTCCTTGAATGACGTGATCTGGGGCGTATCAGGGGCATCCTCCATTGCGTCGAGCCACGATTGTTGAACCATGTTGACTGGTAGCAGTGGTAGTGCAGCAGCACGTCTGACATGGTCGTGGATGTCCGGATTGTCTCTGTACTGATTGACCATCTCCAAATGTTGAACCTTCTTCCACACTGCCTGCGTATAGTGGAAGAAGCACCCCCTGATGTCTGTACCAGGCAACTCCTCCTCGACATCTCGCATCACAGCAACTTCAAAGTCAGTCTGTATTACTTGTGGCTGTAGGGGAGCTCCTGTGATCTGCAGCACTGTCTCCTTAAGCTTCTGAAGGAGTCTGACATATGTGGATCTCTGGCGATTGGGCAGCAAACAAAAGATCAGCTGTGTCATCTTCGATCCAACTAACCCATGCACTATGTACAACTGATCCCACAGGGCTGGAGCAGAATAAAATGTTCCATCCATATATTAAAGTGCCCAACTGCTGAACAAGGTGAAGGCGGTCTTCGGTGGCAAAGCAAATAATCTTCTCATCATCACTATCGTTGACGCACATAAAGGGTCTGCCGTCCAAGGTCTCCTGCCAGGTACGCAGGAACTGAACTTGTGCCAGTGACTGCGGGTGGGCTGGAATAGTCTTCCTACGCTGCTTGTAGAGACCATTCTATTTGTATAGAAGGATGGAAATACTGCAGCTGCATCTTCTTCCAGTGTAGCAACCTCTTCCTCAAAGATGGCCTGGATTGGTGTTGTCTCAGCTTGGACTCTCTCTCTAAGAACACTTAAAGTATGGAAAGTCGTCATATCTTCTGCTGGGTGGTTGTGAGGGTCTGCGGTTTCTGACAAAGTCTCCAACTGTGGTACACTTTCCTGTGCATCCAGTGGTTACGCATTTCCAGTGTACACAGGTCTGTCTTCTGTTATTCAGGCGGTACCGATATCAATCAAGGACGACCTGCTGTCCACCTTTCTGGGATGTCACAAACACAACACGCCGAGGATTAGCTATGTCGAATGAACAAATATGGGCAAACACTGTCATTTTATACTTCTACAAATGCATGAAGTTTCTAAAGAGTATTTATCCTCTACTCAGTTAGTTCGGTTAATCCTCTGCTAAAATCACAACTACGGGGAGCATGGAGTTCAACTCGTGTTAAGATCACAACTAGGAAGGACAATGTAGATCATTTCAACAATAACTTGACATAATCCAGTTAATTATATTTATGTTGAGAAATGCAAATCTCCAGCTGAAATGAAAGAGCATTAGTGGACGCCGCCTATCTAACTTAAGATCGCTTCTCAAACCTCGCCCGACTAGAACAAGATATTAAGACAGGACAACTAAATAAACAATATACCACAGGCATCTTCTTAGACCTCTCTAAAGCTTTCGACATGGTATGGGCTAGCACGATGGGCTAATACAAAAACTTAAAAAAATAGGACTCAAAGGTCAGATAATAAACTACATCCAGGACTTCCTAAACAATCGTAAAATAACCGTGGGTATAGACCAAACTCTATCGGACCAATGTCCCATAGAAAATGGCACTCCACAGGGCAGTATCCTCAGCCCCACCCTCTTCAATATAATGATAAACGATCTATTCGAGGGCCTATCCCCTAAAGTAAACACATCAAAATTCGCGGATGATGGTGCCATCTGCATCCGCACTAAAAGCATGAACATGGTCCAAAATTTACTCCAAAAATCTCTTAATAAAATACAACAATGGGCTGACAAATGGGACTTCTCCCTTAACTCAGAAAAAACAACAGGAATAGTATTCAAACATAAAAACATGAAACCCGCCTCCCCAATCCTCCAGCTAAACAATCAAACAATCAAATTTCAAAAACAAACCAAATTCTAAGGACTTATTTTCGATGAACATCTCACCTGGGATGCTCACATCCAAAACCTAACAACTAAATGCAGTAAAGACCTAAACACCCTAAGATGCCTAACTGGCTCTAACTGGGGAGCCTCCAAAGATACCCTCCTCTCTCTCTACATATCACTAATTAGATCAAAACTAGACTACGGCTGCGCCATATACAACACCCTAAACAACTCTCTATCTAAAAAACTTGACTCAATACAATATCAGGCTCTCAAACTAATTACACGCACCCAACATGGCACCGACTTACCGACTCCCTAAGTGGACTGCAAGCCCTCCAAAACAAAAATACCAAAAACCGACCTAAATTAATAAGTCAAACAAGCAAAAAATCACAACAAAATGGCATAACATATATCTAAACTCAAATAGCCAAATCAAAAAAGTGCTCAGCAAACCACTAACCAAACCAAAAATTCTCCATCCATCCAAAAAATCGACAGAGTAATCACTAAACTCCAAACAGGACACACCAACCTAAATAACCACCTAAAAAAAATTAAAAAACACACTACAGGTAACTGCCCACACTGCAAACAACCAGAAACCCCAGAACACCCACTCATCCACTGCACACACTACCTAACACATCGAATCGCATTACAAACCACCCTCAATCTAAACAAGGCTCTCACTCTAGAAGCAATACTAAACCCACAAAATAAACTAGAAAACTTCAAGGCCTTAGGCGTATTCTTAATAAAAACGGAACTAATAAAACGCATCTAAAAACACAATAACCTACCAAATCAAAATCACATAAACAAACAAACATCCACCATACCCAGCTCACTTAGTTCTCCTCCCCAACCCCATCGGCATCTATTCCAAATCTCAAAATTCCCAAATTCTATATAAGCAACCCCTAAACCCCCCTCTTGGGTTGCACAGACCACTTTCGCCCCTTTCGGAAACACATTAAATGGCCTGGCCGGGCCCGTGTGCGAAATACGCATCAGTCGGAAAGCGCCCGTTAAATCTCCAAAGTAAGTAAGTAAGTAAGGATATATTGAGGATTTTTAGCCCTTTTCTTCCCCGGTGTGTAATTCTGATGGAAAGAAGTCACTCATGCATTCTATGTAAAAGAAGATCAGACTTGGTTAGAATCCGTGTTTATCTGTAACAACTTACAACTGGTGACATTTCAGTGAACTTGGCAAGAGGTGGTGAATTTTGATATTCATATTATTATAACCAGTCAAATTGTACATAAATTTGTGTTTTAATCATAAATATTAAAAGGGACTGTTCCCTACACCCGTCCATATCTTAATTAATAAACATTATTTATTGTATGGATTATATAAAGATTTTATCTAAGTATATGTTTTACATTTTGCGTGCATGAAAGATGGGATTAAGGGAGAAAGGAAATATTTTCCTAAAAGTTTCCAATAACTAATGGAGGAAATTGGAAATGGCTGAACCTGTAGAAAGCATGAAATCCGTGACAGATGTGACAGATCTCAAAGGGTGACATTCAACAGGCCTATTACCTTGTGATCACGTTCGCGTTTTTCTTAACAGTTTAGAAAAAGAAATTGGAAAATGAGAGAAGAAGTTGATATGCTTATTGTTGATATGCATGCGTTCAGATTAATGAAAACATATACTATATCAACTATAATATGCTTCCGTGTGTGAATGCATGTAATATTTGCATATTGGCTCCCCAGTTCTCACAATACTTCATGTTAAAGCAAAATATTGTGTGTTTTTTAACCTAATCTCTCATGTCAGAGACTGATTTCAAACCGCATGTCTAGTTGTTACACAGCCAGTGTCCTAACTCTCGTGTATCTACGTTGATGTTTCGCCCTCGCAATCTAACGTTATAACATTTCAGGGCATAGACATCATCTATACACAACATATGCGTTCTGGACATGTTATCTTTCGGTTCCATGGCCTGCACTGTCGACTTTATTAGCCTTCGAATATTACATCTAGTTCACACAAACAGGACCGTTAGGAGCCTATATAAGGAATGTAGCAGTCAGGGGATCTTTCAGTTTGCTGACTTACTGTTGGTAATGTCCGTTTTCTTTTAGCAAATAAGGGGATAGTTAGTAACACAAAAATACGATATACAACGATTTTTTTCACAACTATCACAAAATCATTCGACACTGACACCGCATCAAACCCCGCGGTCGACTGGATACAGTTATGCGTGCACCGATTATATAATCCCTACCAACAGGGTTGGGTGGTGGTTCGGTCTGTTGTCTAATAAATGCTGGGCGGCGCCTTTGATCTCGCCTCCAACCATGCAGACAGCTGCAGACGGACAGACAGATTGTTTATTTGAGTCTCACCTCACAGAAATAATTACATAAATACATATAAAAGGACATAAAAGTGAGCCACCCGTTAAGGGTTACGAGGGACTTAAAAATATATCACAGTATGTACAGCATAAATATATTGGTGTAAAAGGGGTATGAAAATATACTACCCGTAACTAGCCATATAAAATATTTTTTCTTCGTTGGAGAATTAAAAAGCAGGTTTTGGCTGTAAAATATACATAATATTTAAAAAGTACAATAAGTTTATCCGTATTGCATAACTCTAGAAAGTTGGGATAGCTAAAACTCACCTTTTCGTATAAACTTTCACGCAAATGCATGTAGTAGAAGTAAAAGATGATCAGGATGGCCTGGTAATAATCAAGATTCTTTCATGTTGCATATCAAGGCACCAATTCATCTGTCATTGGGGTTTTATTATGTATGTGTAGCCCAGTGTATCCACAATTAACAAGAATGTTTCATATCTACAAGCCAGGTATTTGTCCACACCAAATATGCTTTTGCTTAATTGCGTTAGTGTGGTTTATCAACACTTGTATAACGCTTATTCACGCTTGGTGTGGCAGATTGAACATTATGATAGCGTCAACAGGGATAATAGAGGTAATAAGACACAACTTTATTTGCTACAGACAGTGGCATATGAAGATCATATATATATATATATATATGTTTAAGTTACTTCTATGATAGGCATTTAGAAGTTGCAGTCCTAAGTAAGGACAAGATTTATGGATGAACAACTTCTTTAAAACAAAATTAGAGCGACGTTTCGGTGTTGATAAACTTGCTTGATAACGGTGTTAGAACCTACACCGAAACGTCGCTTTTGATTGTAATAAAGAAGTTGTTCATCCATAAATCTATTATCCTTTCTTATGTTTAAGTTACATGGGCATCAGGCTAGATTATTTACATCAATACAGTGTAAATATTGCGTTCAACAAAAGAAAACGTTGATAGCTTTTTAACACCCCTTTTTTGTACTATTAAACAAACTGTGGACATTTTCGCTTATTGTAATAACATCTAGGTAACAAATAATAATTATCTATTTCTGAAATCCACGAGCATAATTGTTGTCAAACCTAAAAACATTATCAGGGCGGCCAGTTTTGACTTGACAAGTGCCTTAAAGGGAATTGTCTCTCGCACGGTTATGGGT